ACACATTTAAAAGTATGGTTATTATATTTAGTGCTGAATAATAATAACAATATCAAGAATAAAAATGCAATTTTATATGCAATATGTAATAAGTTCATAAGTAGTTGCATTGAAAAACAAGAATTTTGATTATGTTTTTCATTCTATTAGTCTATTTAAATTGAAGTTTTATTTAGTACTGGTACTTATTCAGAGTTTTTAGTACTTAATACCTACTACTATACTATTATACTGCACTATATCTTTAAGGATTCTAATAATATTTCTATTAATTTCATATGATAAAATGTTGTTTCCTTAATAATTACAAAAATGTTTTTATAATATATTTTTATATTTATAAAGTATACAACTTTTATGTTTGTGAGAGATATATCGGTTTTTATCTATGCGCAGTTATAAACGTATCGATGTCATGTGCACGTTATTAAATATGTGCCTGCCATTTGAAGTACGATACCTTGGCACTTGTGTCGAGGATATTGGCAAGCGGGATTACAACGACCTCCGTGACACAGAACATCATGCAAATAGTGCCTCTGATCTTGCGGAGCTGACAACCTTAGGAGTAGCAGATAAACGCACAAGACGGAAACTTGCTCTCTACATGGCATTATTACATTCATGTAATTATGCATGTGCTGTGATCTTATACAAGAACCTGTCAAATTTTGACTATCAAGAGATCTCTAACCTACTAAATGGGACCACCATCTCACCGGATGACCAACCACTGGAGGAGCTGCTCTTACTGTATACAATGGCTTTAAATCATCCAGCATTTACATATGAGCAGAAAAGTATATTTGGCAACATTTATATGAAACTGCAAGAAGAGGAATCTCGTTTGAATCTTTCAAAGTCTAATTCATCCTACAAACAGGCACAAGTATATATTAATTTTTATATAAATATATTTCTTATAAACATAGGATAATTTTCAACTTCAAGATTCGTGGAAGTCATATACAGGGTGTATCAGAACATATGGATGTAGCTTATTGAGTATATTAAATAAGAGAAAAGATTCACATAAACGTTTATTTTATATAATCTTGTCTCTGAGAAACAATTACTTTTATATTGCTTTTATATTGTCTATCTTTTTGACAATTATTTAAAGTTAAAAATTGCTAGGTGTTTTCCAAATTGATTGTAAACCAATTACAGATGAAAGTGTTCATTTTTGAAAGTACTTTACACGATCACGTGACCTACATGTTCTATTTTTGTAACTCCTCAAATGCTGTTCCCATTATTTTAATTGATATGATTAAAGATTTAATCTTTCAAAATCATTGATCTATTGGTCGTAGATCTATTGATATGATAGGAAAATATTCTACATACATACATATTGTCAAAACAGTGTTACACTAATCAAGAACATACATTAAATGCATGTCATTTCTGTACTTGTATAATTGATTATTATTAATACACCCACTACCATTACAAGTGAATAGATTGAATTGATTCAGAAATGCTATATATAAGAAAAGTAATTATATAATACAATATTGATAGTGAGGTTGTATACACTATATAAATTTTATATATATATATATGTGCACTATATACATTATTTATAAACGGTTCAATGGAGAACTCGGTTTATGAAAATTATTATTAGAAGACAAAGTGTCAGTAGTAATTCAGAAACATGCTTCAGTACACCTTGCATATATCTCTTGAAATTAATATCTCAGTTATTTTATTAATATATTATTAATATACCTACTTTTTAATAGGGGTGCTCACCATGTATGAGTACAAATGATAGATTGATGGACAATGAAGTACAGGGTAGTTGCTTGATGGCACCTCCCCCAATGCAAACCTACCATGGTAATTTTAAGATACTGGAAATTAAAGAAGACAGTTGCATCCATGCATGTCATATGTATCATATGACATCATATTTATATATTGTTAATACTATCTAATATAACTTGTGTCATTTGCAGGAGATATGACAATGAGAAATAATACTATGGTAACTGGAGTTCCCCCGGGTTTATCAATGCCTCCACCTGGATTATGTTTACCAACACCAGAGCAAATGCCAATCAGATCGGGTGGTGGAGCACAATATGTTCACCTTGGCTTTTCATCAATAAATCATATGCCGCCATGGACAGGTCAGGTTATGATGGGGAATCAACTGATGTATCATACTGGCGACATGTTGGCTTATCCACCTTCCCCCTTAGTCAGCCGTCAATCGTCGCCATCCCAGTCTCGATCTCCTAGTCGCAGTAATTCCCCAATGAGTCGCAGGAATAATACAATGCCGCGGACCTCTTCACAAGTGACTCAGTCTACTTCAAACACCTTAACGTCAACGAGTGCCTCTAACAGTCAAACTAGCATCTCCAGTTCAAATGCCAATTCCCTTCCGCCACTTCCTGCACTTGGTACGAGCAGGAGTCATCCTAGTCAACCTCCATTGCTGCCATCACGTTCTGTTCCCTTGCCAATTAGTAGTTCTACCACCTTCTCACGGCACAATAGCATAGAAAATGCCTCTTCTACCTTAATTCCGGCAGCAGCACAATCTAAACAACCACCACCACCACCACGATTGAGGTCGTCAACATCTGGTGACTCTTTACGAGAAACGTTAGGGAAAGAAATGCCAAACTTCAAAGGCAATTTGCAGAATTTTTCTCTTGACGAGGTGAGATAGTAAAGTTTCATAATTATTGTACAAAAACATTATAAATTAAACTTTATTTTAAAAAATTATAATTGCTATTTGATACATAAACTTGTCGAATACATTATACTTTATACATTATACTTTATTTGCAAAATGTCGAGTATAGATTCGAAGGATGAGCGATGGAGATTTGAGGGAAATAGGATTGACACCAAATGCAGTGGGACAACTACGAAGTATAGTGAAGAGCCAAACAAGTAATGGTTTAAATCAAATTACCAGCGACAAAAAATTGGACAATACTAGTAATGCAGCACATGCAACTATGGATTCATTCGAAAATGAAGTAATTTTAAAATGTTTTATAATTATGGATAGGTATTTCAGAGTTTCATTTAGATATTATAAAGATAATTTTCGAGCTTACAATTTTTTAGGCTATGTCAGGGACGGAGATGATGAATGATAATGGAAATCAAAGTAGTAAGTCTATACCATTACAGGAACAGCATCCAGCGATGCATCATCATCATAATCATGCGGCCACTCCTAATTTACGGCGATATCCTACTATGCCACCATTAGAACCTGCGCAAATACAAATGTATCCTGCACCGCCCCCGATGTATGCTGCACAAAATGCACCGTGTTACGCCTGTCTTACGTTACCTGTTGCTGGGGTACAAAATCGATACTCGAGGTAATAAGGGAGAATGCAATACGTGGTAATAGTGACAGAAAGAAATCATATAAATATATGTGTATTTGAAATTTATAGGTGCAATGCACATGTGTATTGTCTGACGCAGTTACAAGCCTTAAACTTAGATCCTGAGAGCAGTAGGCACTGTTCGCAGAGCAGTAGTTCCGATAGTACTGGTAGTAGATCTCCGCCAGAAACTCCTCCGGCAGCACCGTGGGTGAGCGGAAGCGAGAGCAATGCACCATCAGTTACAGATCACCTTAGCTCTGCACCAGTGCATTCTACGAGCGCAGTATCACATCCAGCACCTCAACAACCTATACAATCGGGCGCGGAAAGGCAACGTAAAAGAAATCCGGCGTCGCACGTGATGCGTCACAAAAGTCAAATGGTGAACGGCGGTGGACCACCGAACTTATCTCAATGCGTTTCCTTTCCCGCACCTCCATCGCATTCGCAGGTCGCGTATTTGCCGCACGGTCATTTCTCCACTTTGAGACCGAGCAGTGGTATTTACTCTAATTTCTCACATGGACCGTATGCAAGGCCAGCTTATCCGACCACGTATCAACCAAATGGAGAAATGATGTACCAATATCCTGGACATCCACCTTCAGGAGGAACACCCCCACCTCCGCCAAATGCTGCCGCAACACCTGTACAGGCACCGTATATACCACCAACTCCGGTTGTTACGTACGCACCAGCTGCCGTCCCACCTACGAAAATCTCGTGTTATAACTGTGGCAGTAGTAATCACGTCGCAGTTGATTGTAAAGATCAAACAATGGAGGACATTACCAAAAAAGGTGGGTTCTAAATATTTTTTGTTGTATTTTATACTTTTGTTAATCGTTGCGCACATTGAGTTCATTGTGTTTAAAATAATTGTCCAAATAGTAATACTTAGTCATTATACATTGTTTTGTAATATTTAAAATTTTTTTTCTTTTTAAATAACATCCGATTTGTAGAAGTTCTTACTTGCTTGCAATTTTCTATATGAATTACAACGCTGTAATTTTCTTTTAAAGTATTTCACAAAATTATTTTTGTAATTTAAAAGGTGGCAGTCCCATTAAATTTATCACATCGCATCATGTGTTTGTTTTAAAAATGGTAAATATTAAGTTTCACTATATTCTGTTCGAATAATTTGAACTATTATGCCGTTTATAAAGAGTTTAGTCAGTTTTGATTATGTAATAATGTAAACATATATGTATTCAGAAATCGCTGAAGTATTTTATGAAAATGTCACAATATTGTGGAATGTGGATAGGAATAATTTTATAGCTATAACTTATGCGAGTTAGTGAAAAAACCTGTTGTTGATTATATAATATTGTATGTGTCAGATCAGGGAAATTGATTGCTCACGAATTCAGGCCCCTTGAATAGCTACCAACACTGCTGTGCTGAATTATCTGGTCTGTGAAAGAAAAATATGTCGTCCTATATTACCGTCTTTAACGACGATCTTAAACTATTTCTCTGTGTAATTCGAACGAATTAGTGTAATAGTGAAAGTGGCGATTAGATCATGCGCGAGGTATTCGTGAGCAAGCAGTTGTTCAGGCTTATTATAAGGTTTTTTAAATTTGCATAGAACATTATTTTAGCTACATTGAAGCTATTATATGATACCAAGTCATCCGAACTTTTTTCTCTTGTTCTTCTATCTTTTCTTTTGTACAATAAAATGTACTTTAACTTTCAGCTCAGTACCGCCTAGACTACAGCGTAATGAAACAACCTGGAGAGTGCCCAAGTTCCGATAAGTGATCCCCTGCTACAGACCATTCAGCAATTTACCACCATCGTCATTACCATAATTACTGTTACTATCACTATCATTATCATTCCCATTGCCACTACTACCATGACCCCGCCACAGTAATACAACCCAAGGGCCGTTCAAAAGATGACTACTATCGCTCCTTGTGCAAGTTTTCGGTGATTTTTGTAGACATCCCTTACATTCAGGACGACGATTTTTTAACAGAGGACGTTTCGCGATTCACGGTACCAGGTATACTTTTTACAAGTTCTTATTTATGATAGAAATTATTCTTAACTATGATTGTAAAAAGATGTGTAGTCGTCGTGTACAAAGGGGAAAGATAACTAAAGGAAGCATAACGCAGCATCCGATGTTATTATCTATGTTTTTAGAATACATTTTGAAAGATTTGTGTTAGGTATTGACTCGCGTCTTTCCAATGATACCTATTGGGCTACATACCCCCTCCCCCCACCAATCTCTCTCCCCCGTTTCTCTAGTAAACTAGCCATAAACGAAATGCAAAGAAAAAGAACTACGCATTGTGCTCTGATTAGGTGAAACTATCACGTTTGACTATATTTATCATTGATACTTTTACTTCTACTAGTATGTCTACTATCACACTATTACTACTATTACTCTTAAAACTATTACTATTACTTCTATTATCGCTACTGCGCCACGACGTTTTTATGTGTATATATTTTCTCAATTCTTACGTGCGCAATGTTTGAACGAATGTAATAAAATACGAATAGCAAGGATGAAATAAGGATAAAAAGTTAGCAAAGAGCGAATGCGTATATGAAAGCAAGGGAGAGAGCGAAAGAGAGCCAGAGTGAGTGAGGGAGACATGTGTAGATAGATTGAGGGAGGAAAGAAAGAATGAGAGAACAACAAACCATAAGTGTTCGATCATTTAGCTGCCGTTGCGCTCCTGTGTGTATAAAACTATAAATATACGCCGCTCATCACTCATTTATTAACTTACGGATAGTTAGCTAAGTAACAAGTAACTCATTCTATTTATACAAAATAGTCATGCAATCACGTGCAACTTAAGCAATTTTATACGACTTTTATTGATCGCCCATCTTTTTTAAGTGTAAGCTAATGTGTTACATGTGTTTAGAACCTTCTTAGTAATTAATGAAGAATAAGAGAAAAAAATCAGAAAAAAAGAGAGGAGGAAAATAACAATTCGAATATGTGCTAGCTGTTAGGTGTGAGTGGAGTGGCAATTTACGTTGTACTCGCCTCGTCAACAAGTTGCTGCTGCATTTAAACCGACTTTAAAAAGGACAAGAATGTGACATCCTTTAGCGTGTGCTAATCAAACTGTATATTAGAGTGCATAATTTGACAAAAATTTCGACTAGCCCCGATATCTACGATGGTTCAAGCTGTTTAATCGTAAGATTCTCAATAGTACGCACCTGATCTATGTGACGTAGATCTTAGATACCTAATTAGTATGGAATGAAAAGTTATACAACTGATTGAGAATGAATACGTGTGATTTTGAGTACGTATGCATTTAAAGAAACTTCCCTTCAATAGTTTCCTGCTACAAAAAAGAGTTTCTGAAGTGTTCCTTTTGGTTGGTAATGGAATTGTTTTTCTTTCGGCAGCTAGTCAATAGCCACGAAACAGAATGTTTGGATGAAATTATACAGTGAAAGTTGGAAGTTCGTGATCTTTTTAATTGTACACAACCTACTTTTCTTATTCTTTTATAAGTAAATCTGTTTTTTTTTTCGTTTTCTTTGCTATAGCGTGAAAAGTGTTTTCATAACAAAGTAAACCAGGACATTAACAAAATTGATCGAATCAAATTGCCATTTGTTTATAAACAAAAAATCGTACATCACTTTCAGAATTATTACTTAAGATTCCGTTCTCGTTGACACGTCAAACAAACTTTCTGTTCATTTTGTTTGAGAAACTTAATATATTTACTGGAAGCTGGCTTGGACCTTAGGTGATCTTTAGTGAAAGTGCCATCTTTTTTCTGTAAATATCTAGTATCTTTATACCGGTCTACTGAACGCAAAGGTTGACATTTCTCTTGTTACCATTAGTAAATAATCGTTTCTTTAAATCTACCTGAGAAAAGTTTCGAAGTGGCTGTGACCGATGAGAAGTTCGTGAAATTATTGAAGCTCTAAATGAGAACGTCTATTTAACTCGAGAATAAAAAGCAAAGTTTCCCGATATCTTTTAAGTGTTCAGTCCTCAAATTTAGCGTCCATTATAAACTGCAGACTACGTGTGAGCAGAATTTGAACGAAAAAGCCTCGTTTCTATCATGTCATAAATGTAAATGTATTGCTTGACAAAGACAACAGAATAACGCCATATTTTTATGATTTCTTTTACACAAACAATGTGTCTGATATAACGATCTGTATTTAAATAGTGCGAAATGAGAAGAGAAGATTTATAAAATAACAAATGGAATCTAAATTTGTGGGACAAACTAGAAGAGTGTAATTTGAATGGAATTTACGTTTTCAAGCGAATTTGAGTTTCAAAAACGAAAAAATATTATTCGGCCAATCAATGTCGCAAATACCGATGATTCTGCACTCAATGAAAAAGTGATATAGCAGATTTTCAAGCAGTAACAAATTATTGTTGACCAAGCGATATACCTTGATGTTATAGTCTGGGTAGTCGTGTTATTGAAAGCAATAGTAATTCTTAAAAATGCGCCACTTTATTGCTGTTTGCTAACTGTTAATGTTGCAATAGTTAAAAAGTGCTTTTCACTATAGTATCATTGGCAATAAGATGAGCGCGATTTTTCTTGTCTTACTTGTTAAGCAATATTTCATAGAGTAACATCAACATAGATCCTTTCGAAGGAACATGATTGTATAGTATTAATGTTGTAAGCAGCATTAAGTGAAGTTCTGTACTTGCTGATCAGCAAATTGTACATAAAAGGGATACGCCGCTTTAGTGATAATGTCATGCCTAGTGACACGATACGTACGAATGTTAATTTGACTGAAACAATTCTGTTGAAAAGAAGTATAAGGGATTACGGTTATCATTGTATTAATTAGATTCATTTCATTGCATTTAATGGATTTTAGTGTGCTCGTTTCATCCGTTTCAACATTTTTCATTTTATTTTTGTTTTCACTTGGAAAACCACCCTCCTTTTTTCAAATTTCCGTTTTAGTGACGCCTTCCGCATACAGCACGTTCTATTAGGTTGGCCATAATGTCGTGTTGGAATTTTCATTTAAATTTCAATGAAATTTCAGCAATAGTAACTATAATGAATTCCTTTTAATGTATACGTTGAAATCTTAACATTTGGACTGCGCACGTGCTTCGTCGATTATAAATGATCTTTTATTATAAGAACACCAGAAATCTTTTACAAAAAAATCCAGCATTACTTGTTGTCCATTCTAATATTTACCATGATAGAAATGATTGAGAAATACAAGATGTCCAACACAGCTGAGTTAAACTATAGCTTTTGGATGATAAAAGTTGAGCTGAAGTTTCATTAGCCACTTCACTTCATTTTAATTGAGCTATATATCTTTTCATGCACAAATTGATACAACTATTTTTGAATTTTATGAAAACGTGTTCAGGTATCTGCATTGAAAATTAATTAATTTAGAAGATATGTTGATTTTAACATTATACCTGGGCTTATGTATGCTACAGCGTTTCTTCTCTACGCAGTCTAAATGTACAAGGGTACAAATAATCGTGTTGATATTAACATGTTTTTTCACGTTAATCAATTTTTTACACGCGCCTCTTAATAATTCTTTTACGACAAATATGAAAAAAAAATAGATTAACTGTTCTGTGAAAAAGACACAGTTTCGTTGAAATAAATAGAAGTGATTTAGAAATCTTTCAAATTTGTTCACTTTTGGAGAAAATACATACGACAAACGATCTATATATCATTTAAAGACATTGAATTTTATCTGATGAAAATTTGTTCAGCTTTCTATTGTTTCAAAACCATGATTTGATGCAATTGTACGGATCGCGCTGTACAACATTATTTTATATTACAATATTTAAAGCAAATAATGATTTCTCAACCAATTTGATCATCGATCAAGCAGAACCGTTATTTGTTTGTATTAAGACGCTTTTGTTGAATGGCAACTATATGCGTTAAGGCTAGCGAAAAGTGATTCTAAACGAAAACGATAAGAAACTTGTGCTAGATGCAATCGATGTGTTGCGTTGTTGTAAGGTTCGGGGAAAAAAGTTCAAATTCTCTTGATCAAATCAGTATTATACTTAAACGAATCAAAAAGTCAAAGAACCATATCACTTGAACGGGAGCCGTAGAACAGGACCGTGAGAGATTAATAGTAGTAATAATTCTAATGAAATGATAATACTGATATTAGTTATAGTAATAATAGCAATGATAATATTTTATATTCGTTGCAAAATAGAGATGTAAAATTTCTGGAAAGATTGGATCATCGAAACGGATCACTAAACTTTAGTCTCAATAAACAATGAAAAAAAAGAACAAAACGCAAAAAAAAACGCAAAAAATAAATAAAAAATTGACTCGGATGTTACTATAGACGCATCTTAACGTACAATCTCGGTCTGTTCTCTGCATACTGTTATCGCGGAAATTCATTTTGGTTATGGTAACGATCGTTTTTTCTCTCACTAATTTCTATTAGCACTGTTAGCCACCGCTCATCAAGCGTTTCCATTATTGCTTCGATCGAGGACTGATAATAAATCTGCCTGTTCGTTTTCTTCTTCCTGCGACGCTTTTTGCGAAACAAAATTCAACTAAACATAACAATAAATTCTAAAGTACAAGCAATTAACTGTCGTTTACTTATATAAAGATTGAAATACTTAAGAGCTCAATTATTTTTGGTATATTTGAAGACGATACGACCTACATTTACAATGTACTAGGTGTTGTAATGAAACTTAACGATGTGATTAAACGTAAAACTTTCTCGATAGTTTACATCTCTAACGTTAAAAAGATCGACATCGGTTTTCGCGCGAGAAACAAACGGATCTACTTAGACGCGAAAAACCAGAAAGAGTAGTTTCTAACAGAGGGCTAGAGCCATACACGGTGTATCTGTTTCTTCTTTTGTCTTAGAACGTTTTGTGGACATACAGGGGTGTAATTGAGCAGCGTGCTAGAGTTGTAGAGAACACCAGCAATGGTACGTTTCTGTTGGAGCTGCGATCAAATCGGCAAGAGCATTGATAAGAGCACTGATTTATTGGAGCTATCGGCCGAATTTTCAGGTTGCACAATAATGAGTGATTCTGAACGATTCTTTGCTCTATAAAATAAAAGAATGTATTTCTATGCTCTCGTCAACGCTCTTGTTGTTTGGCTTAGTTCCGATATAAACGTGTCTTAAACAAGCAGATAGAGGAAACAAAAAGAACAAAAAAAAAACATGATAAACTATGTTCTAACGAAATACACATACAGACGATACTCCGACTTGCGGAACGTAACACACAGATACATACACAACGCGTACGCAGCCACTTCTCGAATTAATGTCGGCATAGTGACTTAAAAGCGCTTACAATTATCATGTACATCCGCTGCGTTCCGCGAGGTGAGCTCGCGTTTTTCCGTTCTGAAAGGTTCTGCACGAGCCGACCGTCGATTTGAGCCGACCGCTTGCCCCCGAAAAGCCGCGACTTCTCAAAGACAATACGCGCTTTGGTCAAAGAGAAAGAGAGATATTGTGCAAAATGGGAAAAGGGGGTGGGAGATGAAGACGATAGACATTAGGGGATGATTCAGATCGCGGTACATTGCGGGAGCAAAAGTTGATGTTGCGTGGAGGGTGGGGGGACACATAGTTTCTAGATGGAAATTGCGTGTTTGGATAAAGCGAGTTTAAGCGTGCGGGAGAGAGTGTAGCAAAGAAGTTCGATGTATGAGCGTGTGAGTACGATTAATTTTCAAGTATCGAAATGGAAAATACAAAAAAAAAGATAAGAAAGAAAGAAATGGTTATAAGAAATTTTTAGAACGCATTTTGTGAGAAATGAAATTTCATTCAGTTCTTGTAGACGGTCGCTTGTGCGAAAGGATCACTCACATTCATCTTTCGTCATCACGACGAAGCAAAAAATGGAAATTTAAGAGAAAGATACAGTGTGATCATGGTACGAGGAAAAATTGTGACAGATAAAAGCAGATGAGAAAAAGAAGAAAAATATGTGTAAACGAAAAAAAAATCTGTACGACAGTTTGTGCCACTCTATGTCATGTACATAAGAATCGGTGTGCTAGAGAGAATGCCTGCGCGTATGTGTGTGGTACACGTTGTATGTATGAGACAAAGCGTGATAGAGGAAAAGAGAAAGATTTACATACAAATATGTGATGTGTATATACATACTATATATATATATATACACATGTATATATATACATATATATGTTATGTGTATTTATATATATAAATATATTATATATATATGTACGCGTATACATATATGTATACATATATATATACACATTTATATACATACATATGGAAATATTGAGATATATTTGTAAATTCTGTTATCTGAATGCATTATAAATATTTTAACCTCCTGTAATGAAATATTTAATAAAAAACGTTACCAACCAAATCGTTTGCAATTTTCGAGGGCATGTTTAGGATATGCGCATCTTTCTAAATCTATGTTTATCAAATTGGACAATATAGCAACTGTGATTACAATTAGTAATATTCTGAAATTACTTATCTTTTATCTCTTCTAATAGCTTACAATGAAAAAACTATGTGACGCTGTACAAATTTATAAATTCAAAGTTATATTGCTAAAGGACATTAACACGTAATATTTGACTTGTTTAAAAACAGCAATCTGATTGAACTTAATGTGAAATCGTGTAGAAAGATTCGTGGAAAGATTTGTAGTTTAAGAATTATTCGTAATCTCTTGATTTGTACAAAGGATATGGCGTAGCATGAAATTAACAAAAAAAGAACGTAATTTTACTTTGTAAATCCATTAATGGATGTAATCATGTTGTAGAAAGGTCGTTAAACCACGCGAAATACTTTAATTCCATTTCCAATGGAGCTATAGCTCGAGGCTGTGGACCCAATTAGCAAAATCTGCCTGTACAGTATTTGCGAATTCGTTATTATTAATTGTTTGCATTCAACATTCGCATGTAATATTTGCTACAGATAGGGAAAGGAATAATATTGAAATTTTCGAAATAACACATAGTCGGCCAGTAACATTTTATACAACAAATTAATATTGTTGATAATTACACTTCGATACATCAATGCAAATAATTGAAATTTACAAATCTGTGGACTAGAAAGAGGAATAGACGCATAAAAGTACTTAAAAGTGTAGTGACAGAATGTTCATAGAAACTAACAATAAATTTGATTGACATAACGAAGATGCAGTTCTTTATTTCGTAAAATAAATGATTTCGTAAAGTCCAATTTATAAATTCTGTTGTACAATACAAATACTTTTCCAATTGCAACTCTTACATTATAAAATTGTTTTCACTCGTATTGTATTCACGCAATTGATAGTGCGCTATCGAACAATTAATACTGTGACTTTTTAAAGATCTAATTTTATACTGATATCGTGCAAGCAACGGTCTCAGCCATTCGCTTAAAATATATCCAATGTCGCAATTATTAAATTTCATTAATAAGTATTACTGAATAGAGTATTGTGAGTACAATCGATCCATAAGACTCGTTATGTAACAGTGAGCATGTATGGTGCACAGTAAGCAATACAGATACCGCATTATGGTTCCATATGGAATACATTCTTCCTGTCACGGTCAGGACAAATCCTCATAAATAAAAACAATGTAAACTATGCTTTTTAATCTTTTCTCGAAATTTGCAGATACAGGTAACAGTTTTTCAAAATAGTACAAATGGTTCTAATTCGACCTTTACGTAATATTAATTTTATTATTAAGAAATTGGGACTTCTATTTTACAACATTAAATAAATATTACATTTTAAATTTGAATAACATGTGATGGCTTGCAATGAACGTGATTTGTTTCAGCCGTAATGGCACCTAATGGCTACACATATGCCTTATCGACATTTGTACGGATGTGGTATGGTATTCAAGGAAATTCGTCAAGTTATATTTACACGAAGTCCTGCTTATGATGTAGTGTACACAGTAACACTAATACGATGGCTGAAATGTACAGGTAACGAATTCATTATATTTCCGATGTCCTTTTCCGCAGACGGTGCAAACTGAACCGAAAAGAAAAACTGTAAAACCTAATTTCGACAAACGATATTATGATCCTGTTTCTTTTAACAGCAGTTTCAGGTCTTATTCGATTGTGGTAGAAAATGGAACATTAATTGCTGCAATTAAAGTGGAACAAACGACAGGAGTACAGCCTATTGTATCTGTTAATTAAATGTTTGGCAATTGTTATCTCTGAAAACTGGACAAGTAACTGCTACAAACAATATATATTCTATATTTTTATTACTCGACTGTGGATTTCATGCATTTATAACAAAAATGCGTAGGTGCAATTTAAAACAGCAGTGAGATTAAGATAATTAATTGTTTCTTGCAACAGATATAGAACATATTTATTTTGCATAAAACTCCGCAGTCTATTTATTACCCTTTCACCACGACGTTTCTATTGTAACACTTCAATGTACATAGAATAATATTAGTTCAAACTGCGGGCTCTCAGGAATCTGGTAAAATCGTTCGAGGACAATGAAATTTAGAGAGAGTATAGCTGCATGCAACCGATCGGAACCACCGAGCCGGAATCGCAGCGAGTTCGATCTAGCCGGACGACGAATGAAAAAATCTCAGCGTCGTCAGTCGAAGCGCGTATCACAATGCGATAACGGCGAGCGATCGCGCTAGAATGTGAAGAAGGAAGCTGCCTGTAAGGCTCTCCCACCGTTTAGTCATTCTGTCCCGGGATTCCGTGGCCGTCGGACGCGTTTTGAAATCCCTGGCCTATCTTTTCGTCGATCTGTCCTCCATTCATCCCTTTCCACGGCGGCGCTCGTTCGCCGTGCTCTTGTTTCTCATCCCTACCAGCTGTGGGGACACCGGGTTCACCGCGGCACACGACTATCACCCGAAGCGTGTTCAAAGGGTTGCGAAAGGGAAATAGGTGGGTGTCGTTCGGAGAGGACCGTTTTCTTCCGCATCTGTCGTGCGCGGTTCGAATAAACTTCGCCACGAGGAGGCGCCTTTCACGCAGCGGGGTCGATCGAATCCGCGAGAGAACGAGAGAACGCGAGAGAACGGGAGAACGAGGGAACGGGAGAAGATAAGAATAGGAGAGAGAGAGAGCCGGTCGTCGCTACCGGTAGTGCCACCTGGTCGCGATAAACGGGGGCCAACCAGTGTGGGGTGCGTATTGACGCGACTGCGCGGTTACGTTGACGCGGTAGGGTAGAAAAGGGTAGCGATTCCAGAACGGAGAGTGAGCGCCGCTGGAGCAACAGAGAGAAGGAGAAGAGAGGAGCACGAGAGAAGGAGGGGCGGCCTGAAAAGCTCGGGCCAGGCTGGCTTCGATCGCTCAATATTCATCCCTTGGCCGGACGAGTGCGCCCGAGAACAGCGGCTCCAGACGAGGGCACGAATCAACCCTTCCTTCCTTCTTTTGCGTCCTCGGCCGCGCCACTGTTCCTTCAGGAGACGGACAAGACCAACGGGAGGAACCGGAGGAACCTGAGAAAGGGACTCGCACGTCGAACGTTCGCGGTGTTACGCGAGAGAGCTTGCGACGCTCTCTCACTCATATTGCAGCTTGAGTTTCAACGATCGGAATGGAGGACAAGAAAGTCGAGCAGTATTACAGTCCGCCGCCGAAGCTTGGCAAATGGGAGGGTTTTAAGATCTTTTTATGGAATTCCGAGACGGGACAGTTCCTCGGGCGCACGGGAGCCAGCTGGGGTAAGTTTTTCGCTGTTCACTTCCTCGTCTACAGACTGAATCTAGTGAAATCCGATTACGATCAAATCGTACCCCCGTCTTCGTTTTGTCGCGGTACCTACCCGATAATCTTTTCGCAATTCAGTTCATTTGAATTCGTGGAAAATGCAGTTTCGCGTACGATGTAGGTTCGCGAGGGGGTCTCTGAAAAGGGAATCGCCGAAGGGGCGGCTGTGCTTTGTGACATCGGGATTCACTGCTATTGACATTTAATCGGAACTCCGTATCGTTACAGTGTCGCAATGTACGCGCGCAATGCAGCTCGCTAGCGATGCCATATACATGTAAAGATCTTCCGTGCTGCATTCTAATACGCGAAGGCGTTCTGGCTCCGGTTAAATCGATTTCTCATTTCTAACGTCGATACCACGGCAGAAGTAGAAGCTGTTTTTAGAGCCTCGTTTCGTTTTTGCCTTCGTAATGGCAAATCTCGTCCCACGAAATCACCTCCTGCGAAGACGTACCGATTTTATCTTATAGAGGCGCGTTCAATTTTTTCCTGTTGTTCAGTTATTCTTTCTTGGTCGGGTAGCAGGCGTTCGACCGAGTGGAAAAGATACGTCGAAGTTTATCTGGAGTTACGCGTATCCTGTTCCGATACCGTTCCGCTGTTAACTTCTCTTTTTTTGAGCCGTTGCTACTCGATGATTCTCACTTCATTCTTCGAAAACAATATACCGAAGGGCGGCAACCTTCAAGATTTCCATTGCCCTATTTTTGTCTGTCGTGACGCGAGACTGCGAGTGGAGAAGAATTCGTCGGTGAAGCAGCTCTCCGGTCTTCCTTTCTGTACCCTAGTTTTTGTTTTTGTTTGTTCGGGAATCACCGAACACGTCGAAAGATAGGTAACAGGATAGTTTAACGCCAAAATAGGTCGGGTTGGGGTATCGAACGAGAGACTCGGCGGAAAAGCGGAACGAGTTGGAATAATTTGTCCCTTAAGTATATTCGGAACATCCATTTCCGCTTTCACGACTGAAAAATATACAATTACAGCGTGCTCGAGGGTTCACGGTTTCTGGCAATTAATGCGTCTCACTGCTCAGTGACATTTACGACATTAGCGAATTATCTGCGCTATCCTCTGTTATGTAACGCAATTGCGGTAAGATTCGACCGATGAAGATCTATTGTTGCGGTTCGCTTTATGAAATCAATTGTAGCCTGTGCGATAATTAGGGTTATACAATACCGTTATGTTATCCGTTGACCAACGATCGATCAACAATTCTCCAGCTTTCTTATCAGAGCACACGGATTGTAATTGGGACGTGGACGTGCCGAGATTTTAGTAGTTCTTACTGAAATTTGTAAGGCTGATATTCGTACGAGTTCCAAAAATAATCAGAAATTATTTGGCTATCCGACCAATCGTGAATTTCTCAAATTTCTACTTTTTCGATGCTGCTAGTTTGCGAGTCTATAAATTAGCTAATCAATGTTACAGATTTTCGGTTGACTCGTAGAACAGTTTGCTCTGGAAAATTAACACTGTATACACACTTGTGTATTTTTAATAGTTTAGCAATATTTGCTTGCAAATTCGAATTGCCTAATCCTTTTGTGAATACAAGCACGATCTGTAATAAAATTGTTGCACAGATCACCGGATCGTACCTTTACTTTTATTTTCATAATTACGTGGATAATCGTAGTTTCCTAGGCGTTGCCAATTAACGTTCGCCACGCGAATTTGAATAAAGAGAACAAGCCGTTGCATTGAATCCCGTCCTGTAATCGGACGGAATAAACGTCGTTCGAACATTTGTTCTATTACTGGTCGCTTATCGAAAAGGAAGACGAAGGTTTCGAGAATCTTTTTGTAAACTAATTGACATTCACGAGCATCAGAGTATCTGGAAACGACGACAAAGGAGTTCATTTGATCTCTAGTTATCGCGTTAACACGCTTAAAACAGCTTATGCGTTCGCCCGTGCAAGCTGCATTCCTTATACGTTCTGATGTTTTTCCCCTCTTTCTCCCCGAGGGTTGATCGATTTTCGCCAAAATCAATAGAATACAACGGTCATGCCATTTTACTGAAATAGCCTGTTCTGATTTCAAACGGTTCGCTTGTTTGTGATTTGATTTTCCGTCGAACTCTATCTCTCGTTCATTGTCTCTCTATCTATCGTTCACACGAACGTCGCTTAGCCGAAACTAATAACGAATATCTCGGGACAGTCGCCCGAAATTTTGTTCGGAGCATACAATTTTATTGCGTGACCGAGCAGCCATTTTTGTTCTTAAAAAAAGTAACACGCTTGTTTTCCGCGAGCCTCTCGAATCGTTCGCTAGTTATTATTACCGACTCGATTTCCGTAACTCCCGTATTTCATTAGTCGCTTAGAATAGCTTGTCTTAAATCGTGAACGAGATTCTTTAAGGTTCCCTACTGAAATATTCACTCGCGGTCTATTTATAAATGTATTGATCCGAAACAAGTTGGCTCATCAGATACATAAATAAGAGAGAATTCTTGATTGTTGCGTTCTAAGGAAACTCGTAACTGCGTACCTTTGTGGTTCAGGAAGGGTGAACAGTTTCGCATCGAGTGAGAACTAAAATATTGCAAACATTCGACTCGTGCTACTGGCGAAAGCATTTCCTCGCGACTAGTAGTCGCAATCGAAATAAGGGAGACTTCGAGACACCGTTCTCTGCAGAAGGAGCTTCGGTTATCGTCGATATGATATCGTCTCGAAACGCTTTGTCCGATCGGCGAATTCGGTTTTACTTTCATTGAAATGCGATACGTTGCTGCGGTTGCTATAGAAACGTAACATTTTCACGGTTTTTTCGAGATATCGATCACTCGGCACGCGAAACGCGACGGCGCCACAAACTTAGAAGCCAACCGCGGTTCTTTCGTGAAGTAGGTCGTTGATATTGTTGCGTCTACACTCGATTCTTTGTGCAGGAAATGACACCCTTTGTGACACCCGTCGTCGCCATTTTTAGCTTGAAAACTAGCAGATCGCGCCGCCATTCGAACAAGATTTCCTCTTGAAATGATTCCGGCGTTGTCGAATTGAATCGCAACGAAAGTTCTAACCAGAGACTCCGTTTTAGGGTCATCAAAATTATGTAGCGTTGTCTTATCTGCAGCAATTGATTTCAAAACTAGAGTTACTTATAACGAATATGACGACTACAACGCGTTGGAATATTTAAAGCATTTCTTCATTTATAAACATTCCTTCATTTCACTTGAACTGGTTTGGAAGAGGAAGCGGTTAAATAGTTACGTAAGTTTTTCGACAGTACAATGCGTTCTATATACGAAATTGAATTTGATTTTTACATTCTGAAGACTTGTTAATAAAGTTCTTTAGTGTTGCGATTTGTTTATTTTTATAAAAACAGGAAAATAATAGAAATTTATTAATTAGATCGTTTAGTTTGGCTAATCTTTGCGCGTTGTCAAATACTGTAAATGAAAAACCTGTTCAATAGAATACTATTAGATCAAATGTTTGCACTAATTGAATTTTACGAGGTTACCAAAAATACGTAACGAATACTTAATATTAAAGAAAACATTGTGCTTTTGTTATTCAAAATTAATCTACGAGAGTAAAATGGAATGATAAAACAAATGTTATAAAATTACAGTCTTCGTGGTTAATCCCGTTAGTAATCCTTAATGGTAGCAAATAATATTTCAATGAACAAGACAAAGGACAAAATACAGTGCCATCGAACCGTAGTGACACCCATTTGAGGCACATTCACTTAGCCCTCGACTTTTACGAATCTGTGTCGAAAGTCATAAACTACGATTTTCAAACTCGCTTTTTATTAGTGTACAATAATTTCGTCGAAGCTTAGAAAAGTTTTCTTTGCATTGCATCTTGCGCTTTTAAATTTGTCTTAAATCGACGATGTTCGCTATTTGCGAATGAATTACAAAAACGAGGTAGGAAATGTATGTGTGTACAAAGTAGGCATACTTATTTCACTGTGCGATTGAAATTTCTCGGAAACAAAATTAAGAAATACAAAATGGAGATAAGATTCGTCTGGGAGAAAATTGTCTAACTAGCGGACAATCGGAAGAAATCTCATATTCTACAAGTCCTCCTGGAACGGGGGTAAGACTTTTGTAGGGTTGGTTGGTTTAGACGAAGAGATACGTAATCCAACGGCGCGGATATTTGTCTAATGTAGCGAGCCTCACACACAGGGATCAATAACCTACTCTGCTTTTCTCGTAGTAGCAGCAGGTCGTAGCGTCAACATACTCCCCACATACTTCAACGCCATTTCATTTTTTTTTTTGTCCCGTTAGTCTTTCTATAGAAATATTAGAGAATTCGATATTAGAAATGTATATCGTTTCCATAAACAAAGTTGTTCCTGCTTTTTTCATTCGGTTTATCGATTTTACGTCACGGGTAAGCAAGTAATGGCAAGAATAAGAAAATAAACAATATTATCAAACCTTTTCACGCGGCCGTTGAATAATTTATTTGTATTCTCGAAAGTTATGGCACCTTGTAAAGATCTGTTCTTGGGAAATAAGGGCACGTCCAGAAATAGCATTTGAAATTAATGAAGGATTCTTATAGAGAGAAAATCGAATTTAACTTTGACGTTAAAAGATCTCTGTGTTACAAGCGACTTAAAAGTGGCAAATACTTTATGCGATTTAGAACGTTCATTGAAATTCAACGAAGCTAACGTATATAACCTTCAACAATTGTGTCCATCGTAACGCGCAAGGATTAATCCCTTCTGTCATGCACTTTATCTATCTTGTCTTCGAAACACTGAAACTGTCGGATGACATAGGACGGATGCCCTACATTATTATTTAGCAATTACCAAAAATAGTAATCGCTGGCACGCATTTAAATTGGTTTAACGAGAAAACTCCTTACAGCATGTGTTCGTGGTACATGATCATCAACGATTCTTATAACACACGCGTGGCTACGCTTACTCAATACCAATTCAGGCCAATTAGACCTTGAATCATAATTGCTACCATGTCTAGACTTTGGTTGCAACGCGCGTCCGCGAAGGAATTATTGCGACAATACAATTCTTTTAACAGCAACCGGTTAAACTATATTCGACGCGCTCGCTTATCGTTTGCAAGAGTATCAGACGTTTCCTTTGGGCCACGAATTACCTGTTCAACACTAGAGTTACCATATTAGCAACAATGGTTTTTCTTTTATATTTACTGATTTTATAAAAACGTTACCACGATTAGATAAAGTTCTTTATTAAAAAAAAATCCAATCTTGTCATTTTTATGAAACAATATACATTAATCGTGTTTAGGATTCGGTAAGTCTTGCGTTAAAACAGCAGCGGAACTATTATTTGGAAGTGAAATATTATTTCACCTTACATATCGACTGTACATAAATTATGAATGGAGAGTTACGTGACCTCGTTTCCAAAATTTCTTAATTAAATCCCGCTTGTCTTTCATACATTTTATGAAGAACTATTTAAACGTTTTCCACCTCCGGTTGCATCTATGTTATTAACGATTGAAATCATTTCGAAAAACAAAAAATATAAATGTGTATCAACCCGACCCAGAGTATAAATGTTATTCTTTAATAATCTAGTTTCTGCTAATTAATTTCAATGGTCACCTAGTTCATATTGAGGTCTACCTTCTACCTTTACCTCGAAAAGTATCTTTACAAATATGTTGAAAACAATTGATAAATTAAAATTATGAATAATACTAATCGTATTCGGTTATATTTTTCTTTTCGATGTCCGAAAATATTGTGTGTATATTGTTCCCTTTCATGTATATTTCGTGTTCCCAAATATCATTAATACCGTTCTGTTTCTATTGCAGGGAAAATTTTGTTATTCTACGTCATTTTCTATGCCGTACTTGTTGGTTTCTTCGCTGCTATGTTGACCGTTTTCTATCAAACGTTAGACCCGAACGAACCGAAATGGCAACTGGATAATTCTTTAATTGGAAGCAACCCTGGACTCGGTTTCAGGCCTATGCCTCCTGCGAGCAACGTCGAGAGTACCTTAGTTTGGTACAAAGCCACCGACGAAGGTAACTTCTTGCACTGGACCAGGGAATTGGACAAGTTCCTCGAAGGTAATTCACATTAGCTCGTATTATCCGATATCGCAGTGTTCCGAATAAATGTATTTGATGGTATGTTTTGGCCAAGGATATAGTCTTTCTATAGGAATTATAGTTTAGAATCATAGAAACGTTCAAAAAGTGATACTTTTCAAAGATGGTATCCATGGTAATCGTATGCACAATTATCAATCCTTTGTACTCCGAAATGTCACTAAATATAATCTGAAACAACGTTTACATTACTAAATTTGTTTGCACTCAATGAATTGCTAAAATTTTAAAAAGTTTTAGTTTAGAATATTTGAGATTAAAAAGTTCAAGTTTGAAAAGATTTTAATTTTAAGAAGAAACTCGTATACAATGAAATTCGTGTCGAGTGCAAATGATTAATATGTGTAAAATCCGATAATTACATGTGTTTGAGAACGATGAAAGTGTAATTAGCTATTTGATAATAAAAGATTAGCGTAACGATATTTTGATAGTTTTTAAAGAGAAAAAGTTTATTATTTCATAATAGTACAAAACTTGAAACTTCGTTAATAATTGAACACATTTTTTAATCATTTTGCGTATTGGTTAATTAATTAATTCACGTTCCACGCGGAAAGCTTAGAATAACATACTATGTTTATTTCACTGCAAACGTAGATCCTGCAATGGATTTATGTATTAACAAATTAACACGTAACAGTGACAAAAAAAAATCCAATTAGATAGCGTCAATTCGGTACAATAATTAGTAAGTTGTTATCTTCTTCTAAACACTGGTGCGAAACAAGAAAGAAATCTAGGTCGTTAATATAAACGACCAAGGTAGTGTTATACGTTTAATTGATGGAGCAATGTTTTCGTTCATTTTTTAATTCAGTGATGCTAAAATAGATGTATTATGTCACACTTTCAAAATATAATTTACACAACAATATAAGTAATGCAGAATATGGTAAATTGATCAGAAGATGTTCAGCACTTCGCCATCTAATCCTGTGGTTAATGTTAGTTTAAGGCTTCCATAGTCTTCATTACGTACGATGTTAGTTCTTGTTCATCTATAAGAAAATCAGTTACTCCATTCTCTTGTACGAAATTAGATAAATTAATAATTCGCATTTATTTATTATGATCTGGATGTATTTTTGTTTGAATTTTATTATTTAAATAATTAAATTGAGAAAGTTATACGGTAATTTATTTTAAAAAATCATTGCCATCTAGAATTTGTGAAGTAGGATTCTTTTTATATGTGTAGACTTTGAATTATTCAAATAAATATATTAGAACGCTAATATCAATCGGTAAGCACGAAAATCTTCTTTATTTAAATTAAGCAGTTACGTCAGGGGAGTATTAAATCTGGTCAAGGTGAGATCAATCTTAGGATCAGTCTTTTAAGATGTCTTTTTGCTTGTAGTTTTTCATAATGATACCTTCATCCTGTCGATTACTTGAAAACTTTCGTTTCCTTGTACTTAATCTAAGTACTTTTCATGTCCAATTCAAATCTGAAATAATCATTTGAATCTATGCTGATCGAAACAATTACGTGTAAACAAGTGTAGCAATGCAGCAAGTGAATTACATTTGGAGCATCATGAGATATTATAAGGTGATTATTTATTTACGAATGAAAAGTATTCGTACGTTAGATACATACCTCGTGTCTGCGCACGTGTGTGTCATATGCCATTTAAATGGCATGAAAAACATGGCTATGCTCTAAGAAATTCTGATCATTGTTGTAATTTAATCTGTTTCGAAGTTTTCAAGGTAAAAAAGCTAAAAAAAATGTACGAAAATTTTCAGGCACTGCTGAAGCTCGAATAAAACACTATTTTTTTGCAATTATTGAAATGATGAAAATACTTAAATAAATAAACTTTTTTGGATACCTATTATATTAAAGACCATATGGAAGTACGAACGCAGCCTTGTTATTTTTATGAGACCGTGCAAATTGGCCAGTTGAAGTGTTCGGTATTTTTAGTATTAGTTTGATGAGTGAAAGGTCGCAGCAATGTCGTATCACTATATTTGAAAATGTTTTAATAATTGATACAATATTACAGAAGAATCGGATTTTTGGGACAAAAATGTATACAAATATTTATGGCATATATTTGATTTTCAATGTTATACCGTATATGAAATATTTTTTGATATACGAAATTAAGATATAATATTTTCAATCTATCTATGATACTGTATACAATAAATGATGTAAAAACTTTAGTTTCTCTTATTTTAACATTATTACTGCGTAAGTGCTTTTATCTTCAACGATAAACGTAAGATAGTTAATAAATTCGTTTATAACATAAAAATGAGTGACACCGCTGCTATTTATACTTTGTTTACTCCAAAATATTCTTTCTATGCTGTCATAAACTTCTTCCAACGGTCTTCTTCCAAAGCTGCAGGGAACGTTCGTGGAAACTACATCGACGGGTTTTTGTGTCTTTCGATGTGCTTTACTACGAGTAGCTAATATAAATCTTAATGATGATTAATTAAGACAAGACATTCCGGAACAGTATAATATTGCGTTGGCTTGAATACGATATCTTTAGCGTTCATAAAAAATGAAACGATTGAATCAATGAAAATGTCGATAACATATTTTCGAAAATAAAAATTAGAGCATTTGGCGCAAATGAAAAATTTGAAATGTATGTATATGTTCTTTGGAGTAAGACAATATTTAAAACAATTGAATAAGACAATCATTTGAAACAATTAAATAAGACAATCATTTAAAAAATAATAGATTACTAGAAGTACCTCTTATTACTTTTATTTTCCAAACAACATGAAAATTATGTTTATTTTGTACATAATTCAAATACATTTTCATTTCAGATACTCGACTCCGATAAAATAAATAATTTTCCACAAGATGTTGAACTAAATTAATTATTTTAAAGACGGTTCATATTTCAAAAAGTTCGCCAGAGAAATGTCCACGTTTAGGAACACTTCCATGTTGATGGAAGTGGAGAATATTTGAGAATTTAACCTTACACTTTAATCTTTAACCTTTAGACTTTGACCTTGGATAAATAAACTGATACACGACTGTTTCAAATAGCATGTAATCAAACATATTGAGACGATCATAAAGATTATTTTTTAAAGAATTTAATTGTATAATGTCAAAGCGAGTCGATTATCTAAAGAATGAATTTCGGATTTCTTTAGAATACCATAAATCTCCCACCTTTACAAATGGCACTAAAAGGAGGATGGTTTGCGATTATATGAAGCCACCAGCGCCCGGCAGAGTTTGCGATGTAGACATGACATCGTGGGGACAGTGCACGAAGGAAAACAAATACGGCTATAACAAATCTGCTCCTTGCATTTTCTTGAAGCTGAACAAGGTACGTTTCTCCTTATCAAATTAATCTCTACCTATCGATGCTCTTTTATGTTCGGTTCAACAGGTACTCTTAATACAGGATCACCTAATATTTTTAGAAAATTAGGTCATTGCATAATTTCTGTCATATTTTTTATTAATAGACTGCGGATGCAAAATACGAATTGTTTGCATCGATTGCAAGAAATAAAAACTAAGTAAAAGCTTCTTTCTATCTCGAATAAGTTCAATCAATTAGAATTAACACGTTGACATTTTTAAATTACTAATTTATATTTCAACTACTCAATCTTACTATAAATGCATCAAATCCGCAGTATGTATTCCATGGTATTAGTATTCCCAACATTTCATAATTGTGGTTAAATTGAGTCGAGCAGAACTTTTGGAACTAGATGGGGATAACATTATTAATTAAACAAATATCTTTGCAAAGTTCTTGTAATTTAAATTTTATCCCAAAATTATCTAAATTGCAAAATCTAAGATATTAACAATTTAGGGTTTATATTTATTCTACTACAATATGGAATTATTGCCAATAGACTACGGGGATCAGAAATTTTAAAATAAATATTTTCTTTTTGTAATTTTTCTGTTGTTATGTTAAATTTTATTGTTGCATAAATCTCGCGTTTACAGCAGGTGCTGTGAAATGCAAAAAGTCTCGGTGGAATTCGTATCTTATTTTGATTTTTTGTAACTTTCCATAAAGACAAGAGAAATGTTTGTATTTTACTTTTTATAAAATAGCCCATGCAATTAAAAGTTTCCACAAAAATCCAATGCGTTTATCAGAAATGCATAAAGTGTAGATTTATTGATATTAAGTAATAAAATCACTTTACCAATTTGAAGATAATTTACGATGCAATTAAATTACTAATGTCACGTATTTTGGCTAACGTATAAAGATCCACAATCTATTCATGAGTCAGTTAAATACTAAAAATAATTTATATTACTATCCCTTCACCTATTATTTACTAGTGAATTAAATATACCCAGGAAATTTACATTTTACTATACATATACAAATGAATTCCATACCTTGTATAGATATTAGCACAAGCATATGCAGACTAAAACTTCACATTAATTTTCGGTTATAGTTCCTTGAACAGTGCAAAAATTGTCATTAATTTCGTATTTTGAAATTTATAGACTTACCAGGCCATTAAAGAAGTAAATACTATTGTTGGATTGTACAGAAAATTCACGCCCTTTCCTACACAATTTTATTGTTAATTGTTTTGATATAACAAATTTACCTTTATTTACAATGTTTTACTTGTAAGTAACAGGTAAAATCTCAACATTAGACTCCAGACTTTTCCGCAAAATATAAACTTTGTGCTTCAATTGTGCAAAACAGGAATTATATAGCAATGTATTTCTCCTTTTAATAGTTTCAAGGAACTGAAAATAATGTAACAACCATCTGAAATTTTTTTTATATTTCATTGTTTTGTATGTTTTTGCCATATAAATGCATACAATCCGTGGTCTATTCATCATTGAAGAAGTTTGAAACTTGCTAAATATTAAAGAATACAAATTAAAGATCATTCTTTGTAAAACTATGAAGAACTTTCGCATTCTGGAAAACTTTTCGTAACACTTTTTTTGGATATTTTAAACATGGACAGAGGAGGGAAGTCTAACGAATAAAGTATAGTATACAGTAGCGCTCATAAGACAATGAATTTTAATTTCAGTTATAGGCATATTGTATAACTGTTACTAATTTATTTAGTTTATTTCGCTTTGAAATCTACAGATGTACGTTTCACTTTCTTAATCTCAAACATAAGGTTGCGAAATTTAAGCAGGACACAGTTGTTTTTATGTTTCTGATCTTGAACGATGGACATTATTAGTTTACGACAGTCTATCTAAGGAAAAGTACTTTACGACTTCGTTTCTTATTTTAGTATACAAATATTCAAATCTGTATCAGCGTGCCTTTGGTTGATTCAAATTCACTTACCGGACTAAATTACGGAACTTGTTACTTCACGAAAGTAACAAGTTGTAAGACTGCGTAACCAAAAGAAGACATTTGCTGAACAACTAGAAACTGTTTGCAAGGAAGCATGCTATACATTTTTAATATTGGCCTTTGTTCTGATCTACTAAAAAGTGGCGGACTACGAAAGACAACTAAAAAAAATGATAGTTTTTGTTTTGCTATACTGGCAATAAAATTACTGATATACCAGCCGAAATTAATTTAAACAATGATATATAAATCAATTTTGGAACAGTTAGAAGACATTTGCAACATTTTCGATTAAAAATGCAAAGGCCACAATAGAATCTAACACTGAACACACAAAAAATCGATAAATGAAACTTGCATTTGTAAGGCTTATAAACATTGGACAAGACAGGACTAGCGAAAAATATTATTCTCGGACGAATCGAAGTTCAATCCTTTTTCTTCCGAAGGATTGCGAGGTATAAGACGTCATTTTGGAAAAAATTTGCGATCATGATACATTTTACCAATTTCGTTCTTTCTTGTTCGTCGTCTTAATCTTTTGTCCGCTACTGTACTAGCCTCCTTAGATAAATTGCCCTAATTAACATTTCCGAGCATCCAAAAAATTAAACTTTGAATTAATAAAATCATTTTTTTTTTTAATGGAAACAAATAAATGGAATTACATTTGGAACTCTACGAAGTATATAGAATATAGAATAGAATATTCCAGCTTTCCTTACATGGTAAAATGCAAGCGATGATCCAAATAGTTTAAAATATCCTGAAAAGTGGCGAATTAGAAGACAAGACATTTTAAATGAGGAGGGCAGTGTAAGTGTAAGGCTGTCGCGATGCGTCCGAACGTGCCGCCATTGTTGTTGCGTTCCGTTCTAATCTTAAGTTGGACGGTCATCAAAAAGTTAGCGGCGGATGTTGTTAATTTTAATTTCAGATTTTCGCCTGGGAGCCAGAATATTATGACGACACGAAAAACCTGCCAGACACTATGCCATCCGATCTTCAGGAGCACATCAAACATGAGGAACTTGCGAACAGGTTGGATACCGTTTGGATATCGTGTGCTGGCGAAAATCCAGCTGATGTTGAGAACATGGGAGCAATTCAATACTTTCCACGTCGTGGCTTCCCTGGCTATTACTTCCCCTTCAAGAATACCCCCGGATATTTGAGCCCTCTCGTAGCTGTTTTCTTCGAGAGACCTAAATGTAAGAAAACTTTTTTTATTAGGCATACAACGAACCTTCGCCGCTCTCCCCATTCTTTGGACGGAATTGTTTGCATAGACGGAGAAATTAATGTTTACTCTAATCTATTATATCTTCTTAATTTGACTAGGATCTGCAAAGTGTAAGAATATTGACGAGGTAGGGTAGTGGTAGCTACACATTTATCGAATAAGACCTATTAAATTTTTTTATTTAGAAAGGTACTGCAATTGGTTATCCCATAGTAACCGGCTCCACTACCCTAATTAATGTCTTACAACTTAACTTTTCAATTTCAATTTGATTAAGTCAAATATTTTAATCGTACGAAGTTTTTGAGTTCGTGGACGTGGCAGTCAAAGTGTTAACGTGGACCAGAATGATCTTTTCAATGATTAACCGTCCGCTGTCACACTGGGTCAAAATATCACAAATTTCTGTTTGAAAAAGTGACATTGTCACGTGAATTAATTCAATATACTTGGAAGTGAGATATCGAGTTCTAATAAAGGAAGCGATGTTTTAGAATGTTCAAATCGTATTCTCAAATTTTTGGGACACAATCGTATTGTTAGTTTTTGAGTGACAGTATGATACGTATACGTTTCGCATAGGAAGTGTGCCAAACAGTTTCCAGTGAATGGATATCTCCAGCATCACAGTAGAACCTCATTTATCCAGTAGCGCAATATCAGAATTCTTCATTATCCAAATACGTTTCTAGGGCAACTCATATGCAAAACGATTTACTGTGCGAATCAATAAAAATGAACATTGTTCTATTATCCAACCATTCGTGTCACTTCACTTAGTTTGGATAATCGAAGTATCATTTTAAATGAGAAAGTAATGTTTATCATACCATACTCACATTACAGTTTATACATTAGTTCTATTATATATTTACAGATAGTTTGTTCTTTTGTTTGTTTTGTTCATTTATCGCTTTAAAATATTTTCCACTAAATCTTATATTATACTTTGAGAAAAGCAATAACTATTAAAAAATTGTGTTTGAGGATGTTTTATTAAACAGTTCGCTTCAAGGGATTAAATAACGATCGTTCTAACGAAAATATGCATATTTCGAAATGCTAAAATTATAATTTAAATCATTTTCATTATTACTCACATGTATATCGTCGCAATCATATATTGATTTCAGCTTAATTGACACCTGCATAAATAGATTCAATTTGCAATTAAAAGAAAATAATTTACTAAAAATTACGAGGATGCAACTTGAAAAGGTAACTTCAACTTTTTTAATCAAGTGCTATTAATTAGTATGATAGTGTAATACATTTGTTACGATAGCACTTTAATGTATCATTTTACTTTATAAGTCGGTTTACACATATTGCTCTGAGTTTGTTTTAATTCAATTATCTTAACGTTGCCAAAGTGGGACACGTCGACTCTTATTTGCTGTTAGTATGTGTTATAGAACTCACAGAAATTATTTTATTAATTTATGTTACCAATTGAAAATTTTCTCTCAAAGTTTGCAGTGAAAAATTTTATTGTATATGTCGTTTGTATATATTAATTTCAGGGAAATCATGCAATTTCTGATCGATATACAACACAAAACTAGTCAAAACTCTACAATGCAGAAATATAAATATAATTCGGCATGTAATGTATCGATTATGTATTTTCATGCGTACAATTTTCTCTTAAAAGTTTCATTCTCTATAAAAAAAAAGCAGTAAAAGTGACCTAATTTTTGGTATATTTTTAAGCAAATCCTTACTTCGAAAATCTTACACAGAAATATTTTGTGGTCAGAAGAGGTAGAAATTATATTTTGAAATTTTTGTCTACACTTAATAGTTTCAGAGATATATTCGATAGAATAGACTTCTGAACTCTAACTTTGGAGGCTTCTTCACCCTTTCAACATAGACGTTGGCCGATAAAAGGATGATATGTGTCAAACATTTTTACGGGTTCTATATCATACTAAAATCGCGTCCAAATCGCTGTGTAACACGTTGGCAATGTAACTTGTCAGTATAATTCTCATATTTGACTATACATTAGGCAGATTCCTATTTATTATTAGCCACTTATTTCATTATACTTATTCGCTATCAAATTGCTTTCTCCCTTCATTTTCTACCTTTCATAACACGTTATTGAAATCAAGTACATTGCATCACAATGACTAACAAACATCTATAATTTAGGACTTACGTTAATTTGATAGTCATAGTTTTTTCATCAGCATTATACGCTTCTGTACCAATGATCGTTACAGGGACTTATTATATTGGAGGATTAGTGCAGTATGGCACAATCATTAGAACGAACCAAAATTTGACGGGAAAGGGAAAGAGGAGGGAGAAATCTGAGTACAAAATTTCGGGTCTTTATTAGCTTCCGATATTAACCCTTAACTAACACGATGATTTCCACGAAAATAACTGGCATATTGGGGTCACGGTAGACCCCAAATAGAAAGTGCAAAAAGATGGCTTAATCCAAATCTAGATAAACCATTTTCTGTACTTTATTCTTAGCTAGTATACAAATTTTGCATTAAAAATTAATCGTTTTATTGATCATATTCATATTTTTGCACTCCAAATAAATCCTTTTAAGGATCATATTTATTTTTCAGCCTTTTAGTTAAATCAACCTTTTTGCAGGTCTTTATTTTTTGCAAATAAAGTTAACTTTTTCACATATCAAAATTGAACTGATGTACAGTACATTCTTCCTAATTGACGCTCAGCTTGGAAACAAAAATGGACAATTTCGACAAAATCGAGCCTTGCGGCTCGGTTGTATAGTTACCGATTGTTAACAACTATAAAAACGAGCCGCAAGGCTCGTATAATCCTATCTCTTCTTCCCAAATTGTCCATTTTTGTTTCCAAGCTGAGCGCCAATTAGGGAGAATTTGCTGTACTTATAAAATACTAATACTTAAATACTCTTATAAAATAATACAATTCATATTTCACTACAAATTATTTACAAAATTTATTTATAAAATATCATTCAACTTTTCAACTTAATATGAATTTTATTAGAAATAATAATGACTATCATTTACCACAAATATTTCTTCCTGTGTGGTTTAATTATTTTGAACACCCAGAACTCAATCAGAACTAACCCAGAGCTAGCTCAGAATTATGATTTAACTCTTTGAACCACGATTTTTTCATAACTATGTTACTTTCAGCCTTAAATTTTGTTAGCAGGAGAACCAAATCTTCTTTGATTTAGAAGAAGTGAGTAACATTCATATTTAATAGATTATGTACGAATTCACGAATCTGACTCGTTACAGTGCTAGGGGTTAACGTTTTCTAAGGTTTTGATGTCGTTACTGCAGTAAAGAAGATATTTTTACCTTAAAAGTAAAAGTAGGGGGCTACCTTAACAAACATTTTCCTCCAATTTTCATCACATTTTTAATATTATGATTTTAATATTCGAGCACGATATGGCACGGACTTAGCACAATTCTATACAGCTATTGTAATCATTCAATTCTAAAAGAGGGGTGCTGACTTCTAGGAGGTTCGGATGTGTGATATCGTGCTACATCGATCGTATCCGGTGCAGTCATGAAAATCGACTACGCAAGGGGATGCATACGCAGGATGTCCCACACAGCGGCGTAGGGCATCTACCGCGCGAACATTACAATTCTAAACTAGGATCAGACAGAGGCTCTGTATCGAGTCGCCATCGTAATTCAGAATTACAATGTTCACGCTGTAGACGCTGCAGGATACACTGCGCATGCGTCGCCTTGCGTAGTTGATTTTCATGACAGCACTGGTCGTGTCTCGATAACGGATCGAGTACGATTGCGAGATGAGACTCTCACGTGAAACGAAACCTTTCAGATGGTGTGCTGATCAACATCGAGTGCAAGGCCTGGGCAAAGAACATCGTCCACGACAGATTCGACAGGCGCGGCTCCGTGCACTTCGAGCTAATGGTGGATTAAGCGCAGCACTTGCCACCTTTTGCAAGACCACTACCAACTGCGTCCAAGAAATATGTAGGAGGGAAGGAGAATAAGACAAATTTCTTTTTTAATCAATCTCGCTGGCGGATCGTGACCACTCCTTCTTTCCTCCGGTTATCTCTGCCGACGATACCGCCCTAGCCGCGTTTCTTCTCGTCGTACTTACCGTAGATCCGTCAGGCGCTCATACTCATAATATTCACCCATTCTCATCGTCGAACTGATTCTCTTCATTGTGATCTTTAACTCGTCGTTAAAACTCATCGTCGCGCTTCTTACTACCATTTAAAAAAAAAAAAGGAAAATCGTTGTTCGTGTTCATTTCTCTCTCACGAAGGCACATGCGACACACAAACGGACCACACGTAAACACACGGGCGCGCGCGCACACAGAAACAGCGGACACACTTACTTACTTAACACACACATGCGTACACAAAAAGATACACACAGTGATAGACAGACACACGTACCCACACACACACACACACATGCAGATAAGGAGTTCTCTTATCGATCGACGCTTCCACGGCAAATGGTTTATCACAGAACGGTAGAGCGGATCCGTGTAAAATTGGCTATACACAAGCTGTAGACACTGGATAACACACGTACGGCATACGCGAGCGTATGTGTCGGGATGCACAAAAAAACACAGTTCAGCGGAAAAATTCTGCACAAAACGAGTGGCGGTATCTCTTCTTTCTATCGGGGGGCGAAGGGGAGTGGTCGTACTGTCAGGATCTAAGTATCGTTCGGGGTATCCGTTGGAGCGCGTAAGAGTTTATCCTTACTGTTTTGCCCCTTTCACGAGTCTTACGCTTTTCGTGTAACGAGTATCGTTTTCGTCTATCGTTCGGTTCTGTTCCGTTCGGTTCCGTTCCGTTGCGTTACGTTACGTTACGTTACGCTACGTTACGTTACGTTACGTTACGTACAATTATACCGTTACGATACGTCGCGTTCTAAATTTAGATTCTCCGAATTTCGGTCTCGTCGCAGACATTGGGGCGCGTGCGATGTTCTGATTTTCCGTTTGACGTTCGTTTTTTCGAACTCGTTGGTACTCGCCTAGCTGACGAGAACCGCTAACGTGTAGGGTACACCGAGGATAATTGATACTCTTAGTTCGTGCCACGTAGACGTATTAAACGAAACAAATGAAAAATAAATTAGTGTCTTTACGCCCGTCGGTACGGTGCACCCGGCACGGTGGAACTTTTGATTTCGAATTCTACGAAGAAGCTCTCGGTCGCGGCTCTCGGCGAATCTAGATCGGAAGTTCTGCCGTTTCGGGCTGGGGGACGTGATCAACGCCCGAAGAATCGAAATTCCGACGCGTTTGTGAAC